AACTTTCAAAAACTTGCAAGGCAAGGAAAGATGACTTTCAACGAGGCGTATTGAAGTTTTCATTTGAAAATGAAATTTTTACTTGAATTGAAGTGACACTTAAGAGAGAATGTAGAACCGCACCTCAAGATGATGGGCCGTCAATGAGCAAATCAGGCAGCATTACAACTCTTAGGACAGTTCGCTGTTGTTAATTTGTAGACTTATAGGAGAAGTCGTAACTCCTCCATTGCCGATCCCAAACGCAGATGAAATAGGACTGGGGTTTGTGAGTTTGGTGAAGTCTCCTGTGATACTCAGCTACCTGTCCCCTTCATTACTGACGTCATCGTGCGTTTTTGTTTGCTGCACACGTCAACCCGTAAATTTGTTGCTGCTTATTTTCACTCCTGCTAGTGCAAATTATGGAAGTATTCGGAAAGCCATATGAGACAGCAGATGATAAACTGCTGCAAATAGAACACTCGTAAAAATCTTGCATTTTGCAACGATGATTTCCAACAAATGCCACGTTACCCTGCCGAATTTTGATTAGCTTAAGGGGCTTTTAGCAACATTTTCATCATACTCTTATAAGAAACGTGACTGCAACACGCAGATATGAAGAACATCATCGCTTTGGAGCATTTCGTTTGCTACCCTCCTGATTATTACTGTGAAGATAGGTCGGGTGGTGTTGGAATAATTAAGTGAATCAAGTTCACCCGTGTGTAAACTGTTCTGAAAAGTTTAAATAATGCGAACACAGTCCACTGTTCTCTTCACTGAATGCAAGCCAAAGCACCGGGCTTACCGGAGATGAATCATTCCTTTCGCTATTCACTGTTCGATCTATCCTAGGACAGATGAAAACAGGTGTTTTGGATCAAACACTGGTCAGTTTGATATGGATTCACTTTTTCTCTGCTTGTATGGCGGTTCTGTATTTGTTCATACGTTACTGTCCAGGTACAGTCATCTAATTGTGAGCCTTAGGGTTTACTTAGGTAAATTAGGCTTACTGATTAATACTATTTTATTTAGTAACGGACTACGGGCAGTTGGAACAACGTTTCGTTCCTTCCGCGAAATTTCAATTAGTTGGTCAAATGTAGTCCATCGAACTGACTTACATTATTTTTCTGCTGCGAAATTATTTGCCTACATTATTTTCACATTCAAATCATATTATTTCATTAAATATGCTGTCTAGGTCATATTTCGTTTATGACCTACTCGGATGTCCACTAATGTTCGTCAAGGTACTACAACTCAGCCTCAGTCATTTTAACATTCGAAATCGGTTCTGTTCTACCAGTGCTCACGACGGTAAACGTACTCGAAACTTTGGAAATCGCAAGAAGGCAAGCGTTGTTCGTTAGTTGTTAATTAATCCGATGTCCGTGGCGTACGGATTTCACTTTGACAGTTCTTTATCGGTCAACATGCTATTTCATACAATTTGATAATTGCAGTAATAGAAAACGCGAGTTATGACCGCAGCGAAAGATTAAGTTTGATCAAAGCCCTTGCGCCACATTTTTCCTACCTTGCAGTTCAATTAAATGAAAACGCTTAACGGTCAATGAATTGTATACCATGTTTGAACAAAAGACGCAACGACGCGTTTGTCCAAGCCATGTTTAACTCCAGTTGGTGAACGATATTAAAATCTGCGAAGGTTTCCAAGCGACAAGCCTGGGACCGTAAATCTCAATATTATTGGACGCCTTGTTTGCATTCCACTTAGAATCCAGGGCTATTAACGAAGTTCGATTGGCGGAGTACCTGAAACGATAGAAAAAGTTCCTGAAATTGTTGTACCTTCGTCCCGGAAGGAAGAGAGGGCTTTAAAATGAGTGGATATTGAGGCATTACAGCGCAGTGTCTTGCCGTGGTTCGTTTTTCGGTCTCTGTCCAAAGCTCGAGTGCTTAAGTTTCGTTTTCTTAAAAGAATCGCTATTCTCTCTCATTGCCTGACCAGAAGAAT